ACTCGTCAACAAAGGAAGGCCGCGGCGCGCTCCCCGACTGGTTGAGTCTGGGGTACATCACGCCGAAGTATACCCGCGCCGTGACGCGCGCGGTGGAGTACTCCTGCAATGACTTTGGGCTGTACCAAGTCGCATCGGGGTTGGAGAAGCACGCCGACGCGGAGAAGTATCTGAACCGCTCGCGGAACTGGCGCAACCACTGGAATCCGGAGCAGACGTCGCTCGGATTCTCCGGGTTTGTGGTGCCGCGTAACACGTCCGGGTTTCTTGAGACGGACCCCCTGGCTGATAGCGGGTACTGGGGGGATCCGTACTACGAGGCGAGCTCGTGGGCGTACTCGTGGGCGACCGTGCATGATATGAAGGAGATGGTTGAGCGGATGGGAGGCGAGAAGACGGTCGTCGATCGGCTGAATACCATGTTCACTGAGGGAGCGAGCGGGTCCAGCGGGATGATCTTTGATCCTACGAATGAGCCGTGAGTTTACATCTTCTGAAGACAACAAGATTACTGACAGGCGTAGCATGTTCAATATCCCATACCTATACAACTACGTCGGCCGACAGGATCTCTCCGTCGCGCAGTCCCGCAAGGTCGCCAAAAAGTACTTCAACACGGGCGTCGCAGGGCTACCTGGTAACAGCGACGCAGGGGCAATGCAGACATGGCTGCTCTGGAACATGATCGGGCTGTATCCGATCACCGGGCAGACGACCTTCCTCATCCACTCGCCGTGGTTTGAGTCCTTGGCCATCGATTTAGGTGGCGGGAAGAAGCTGCGCGTCACAGCCACCGGGGGCGACGGCAACGGTGACAGCAAGATTTATGTCCAGAGTCTCAAAGTCAATGGGGAACAGTGGCGGAAGAACTGGCTGACATGGGGTGACATCTTCGAAAACGGAGGGACGCTCGAGTTTGAGCTGGGGAAGAGCCCGAGTGACTGGTTCACGGGCGAGCTGCCTCCCAGCCCTGCATCGTAGCCTGGCAGGCCGGGTGAGTACATTCTTATGATTGATGAATAGATAGTGATAGTGTACATAGAGACTTTGTCACTTCATTTCCGCTTTATTTTTATGAAAGTGCCGCAGGTTATCTCCAAGATATCCTGCGTCTGATCGTGCCTCTTGTTACTTTCGAGGATGGCCTCAGCAGGCGGGCAAGTGCCCTCTCCTAATGAACACTATCGACTCAAACCAGTCGCCTGGGCAGTGCATGCTGGCAACAAATTAGTGCGCTACTGCAGCTGACCTGCTGGACGCCGTCCATCAACTCGCACGCGAAGACAAGACACCATCCTCGGGGCCGGCGCAGGAGACGACTTCGAACGGGTAGCATATCCAAGCTTTGGCCACCTAACTCGATACTCCCACCGGACTTGTACAATCTCAAGGAGTACAAAGAATGGTTTATCCAACATGCCACCGCTATTGCAGCCGCTGAGTCAATACCGGACCTCTGCGCGCAAAAGACGAGCTGAACCAGGACGTCCTCGATGGCCAGCCAGTCTTTGCCATTGGCCTTAATATAGCAACAGGAATATGGTCAAAATGTCGGACAAAGCGCGTTTCCCGGTTGACTACTCATGGACGGCCGTGCATCTCAAGGAAGATGACTTCAGGCTGTCCGTCCAATGGCATCATGCCAGTCCTCGCAAGCTTGCTCAATGTTATGGAGGATGGGGATAGGAAGATATTCGCACACGGATTCTGACAAACGCTGCTGTCTGCCGTGGCAAAATGCCTCGGCCAGGCTGAATCACAGAAGGCCTGGATCTTATTCCAGGAGCACTCGATCTCGCGATGGATAGAATGCAATAATGTGGTGAAGCCGCTCCCGCAGTTGGGCAGCGCAGCTACACGACCAAAGCAAGATGACCCATCACGCCGGAAGGGAGGACAGAAGCGCGCACGAGAAGTGTCGCACAAAAGCAGGGATTGATCCTAGCGCCAGGGATTTGGCTCATTACTTTATGTTACAATGACTTTTTATTGGAATGCTGTGGTCTGATTCGAGAACATGGCTAGACGTCTATGCAACATTGGCTTCAGTCTCATCTGTGAGGAAATTCCGTAGTTCCTGTAACCTCTGGTAAGTGTCAGCAACAACAGCAGGGCTGGTGGCTGATCCGGTTGTACCAGCCCACGTCAGGGTCAGTACGGAAGCCGTTTTGGTTAATCGTGGACAGACTCTCCGTAGGAGGTCGACAAACTCAGTCTGAGACTGGACCATCGCAGTCTGACCAGATTCAATCACAGAAGCCACAGGTTCTGAGACACAGGTTCTGAATTTCCAGCAGTGTCTGCAGATTCCTGTATCAGGAAATGGGGTATCATCTTTTGCTGCATTGTGAGCTGTGCCAGTGGCCTTCCTCTCAGGCATAGCAATGTGCCCCAGTGGATATTGGCAATTAAGCCCTTTTTATATGCATCGCTGACAGGCAGGCTTTTGTAGCCAATGGCTCCGGCTTTTCAAAGGCGCCGGGGACCATATTCTCCCGCCTTTGACTCTAGCGGGGGATCTATCTTCCTCAAGCAAGGGCTGCGGTCTCGTGGGTTGTCTCATGAGTGGATTCTCAAATACCGTGCCTCAGGGACAGGACGGCGTACAGCAGCTGTTAATCATTCTCTCGTCATCCTCGGATAGTCGTCCACCAACTCGTGGGCCCGGGTGTCTAGCTGAATGTCCTTGTTCTTCAAGTAGTGTAGCAAAGCAGCTTTCAACAAGTATTGCTGCTTTGCCAGCACTTCATGACCATCATTAACTCTCATTAGTTCCTGATACAAGGCTTCCGTTGCTTCCTGACGCGAACAGTCTCCGCACTTTTTCATGTTGTCCCGACTTTTCGCCCCCAACTGTCTTTTAGGAAAACAGTAACCAAGTTGCATCACTGTCTCCGTCCGAAACGTCATTGTAGATAATCGCCCTTCAGCATTGCCAGCAACATCTCGAAATCTTTGCCTTTAAATATTGGGCGGCTATGGAGTAATCCACCTTGATGGAAGCCAGCTTAGTGACTCCCAACCGGGAATCTCGTGGAAGACGATTGACTCAGTGGCATAATAACCAAGTATCCTAACGTCCGTCTCCTGTATATGTCAGTGAATCGGTCATTTTCTCCTTTGTCGTACCTACATGAACATAGCCCAGCCGTTAGTCCGTCATATGGACATTGAAAATCGTGCACAGAAGTCCGTCTTGCATCAGATAGCGTCTGTCAACGGCCAGGGAAGAATAAAGCCAGGCTGGTTCCCCTGGCGGAGAATACGCCGAAGCGGTAGGGGCAAACTTGTTATAGGCCAAGATTCTCCTTTGCAACACGAATCATTGATTCTAGACATTCTAGAGATCATACTTGTATGAGCGCTCAGAAAGTGGACGAGGCACTATCTTGGCCAAGTGCGGTTGCGACTCGGCGAGTGCTGCGACAGTTCTGATGTTACAGGGTTCATCAAGGGTTCCCAAGTAGCAGATAAAGTCTTTCATGTAGACGCAGAAAGGTTCCCATGTCGCGGAACTATGTTCATGTGCCGTTCCACAAGGGCAGGCTGTTACAAAACCGCCTTTCTTCYTCTTTGGAGGGGCAACTGGCCCGTATTGTGCCCATTGGAGGTGCTAGATGTATTTAGCAATCTTGAACAACTCAGACCAATATGATTCTCGACCTACCTTGCTAATGTCCCGATTGCTAGTAGAGGTGCAGTCCGCTTGCCTGGAACAACGTATTCCATATGCAACGATGCTTCTTCTGCTCTTCTTGGTCTCCTCAGGGGATCAGAGAGTATTTATAATGGGCCATCTCTTCCTGCTGACTGTTAGTCCTTGTTGCAGGTCATCAAAGAAGCTGAGAAAGAAAATGTTTGACAAACGTGTTTTCCTGGCCCCTTTGCTTATCAGGGAAGATGTGGATTTCCTTTGAAAGGAACCTATTCGCAACGATCTTCTTATTGCGACGAGGGGTCCGCTCGCCACAGAACGTCATTGCAAATATGGAATGATGACAACTGTCAAGCCAATGCCTGGCTTTGCAGCTTGGATCGGAAAAGATGAGAAGACGACTGTGCTTTTGGACCAGTCCATAGATATAACGAGGCTGACAAGATCCGATTATTGACATCTACATCTGGAATAGATATATCAAACATAAGTATGAGCACCATGCTCCGATGAAGATGATGAGAACAAACAGAAGAAGAATAAAGAGGGGAAGAGGGAGAAGAATAGGAATAGAGCTGGATCGACAAGCAGTGAATGATGAAAGAGAGGGAGAGTGAGCAAGCATTCACTACTTGATCCGGAAATATCCTCATCTCCACAAAACAGTGAAGGCTGAAGCGGTGTGCCCGCTAAATTCATTGAGGCGGATGAAGGAGGATTGCCTGGGCTATGTGTCTGGGTCTACTCTTTCTAAGGAAGCTACACTGAAGCCTTGAGGTCGTTTGTCCACTTCATGGATACTGACAGTCATCCTTTGATGTCCATGTCTCAAATACACAAGATGTCCACGTCAACCGACCGGTGGTCTCCTCCTCTGATTACTTTGCAAGAGAGTATGATCGTCCTTTCTCTTCATGCTTTTTGAAGAGGAGAGTGGACTGCGCGAGTCATTGCCGGGCCGGCTTGGTTAGGATGTTTCAGAATTGGGCTTCCGTTTCAGCCCATTCGGAGGTATTCCGTCTAGACCTAAGCTTCGCCAGTTGATCGGTGGAGAAATCATCGAGGGTGAGAAGTCCTTCCAGAAGGAATAACTTGGCCGCATTTGCTAGACGAAGCCACACAAGCATCGATTCCAATTTATCCACTCTTCCCCTGAGTTTCTCCTTATAGATGTGGAGATTACCAGGAGCCGTAGTCCAGGTAAGCTTCGACTTGGTCGAATCATTTCAGACATGTCAGCTCTATAAATGTACGCAAAGTACGCCCGAGATGCTCTGCAGGCTTGCGGTTGCCATTTGTGCCCTCGCATTCCTTTCACTTCGCTTCTGAGAAGCTTTGAGCGACAATGCGTCCTCACGCCTTTACTTTGCTCTCCCTTCTAGGGCTGGTCCCTAGCTTCGTCGCTGCATCACTCTCTGGCTCAGTCGGACCCCTGACCTCAGCGTCAGCAAAGGCGGCCAAGAAGACATGCAATGTCCTCGACTATGGAGCAAAAGCCGACAAGACGACCGATCTGGGGCCCCCTCTCGCGGCGGCGTTTGCGGCCTGTAAGTCGGGTGGACTGGTGTACATCCCCGCCGGAAACTATGCCATGTCCACCTGGGTCAAGCTAGCAAATGGTAACGCATGGGCGCTGCAGATTGACGGAGTCATCTACCGTACTGGCACGGATGGCGGCAACATGATCATGATTGAGCATTCCAGCGACTTTGAGCTCTACAGCAGCACGTCGTCAGGTGCCATGCAGGGCCTGGGATATGAGTTCCACGCCGACAACAACTGGAGTGGTCCTCGTCTACTTCGACTGTGGGATGTGTCGGACTTCTCGGTTCATGACTTGATTCTCGTCGATTCGCCCTCCTTTCACTTCTCCATGGACACTTGCTCCAATGGGGAGGTCTATAATATGGCAATCCGTGGTGGCAACCATGGCGGACTGGACGGTGTTGATGTCTGGAGCACCAACATTTGGATTCATGATGTAAGGATTGGCTTCAGTTGCTGGATACGATCAAGATGCTTTGGATCAGGAGGTCTGATTGATCAATAGGTCGAGGTGACGAACAAGGACGAATGCGTGACGGTCAAGGTATGTCCTTGAAACATAAATCTTCTAATATTAATATATTTAATCTAACGCAAAAGTTAAGAGTCCCGCAAAGAACATCCTCGTGGAGAACATCTACTGTAACCTGAGCGGTGGTTGCGGCATGGGCTCCCTTGGGGCAGACACGGATATCAGCGACATCACTTACAAGAACATCTACACCTGGAACTCGAACGAGATGATGATGATCAAGAGCAACGGTGGCAGCGGCACTGTTTCCAATGTTGTTTTCGAGAATTTCATCGGTAAGCAGCAAGGCACTCCGTTATCATCCAAAGTACAAACAAGCTGACCGAGGATTACAAACCGGCCATAGGTCACGGCAACGCTTACTCCTTGGACATCGACAGCTACTGGAGCAGCATGAGCGCCGTCTCAGGAGATGGTGTCGAACTGAGCAACATCACGGTCAAGAATTGGAAGGGAACCGAGGCAAACGGCGCAGAACGCGGGCCCATTAAGATCCTCTGTCCTGACAAAGTGCCCTGCTACAACATCCTCATTGAAGACTTTGCCATGTGGACCGAGACCGGTAGCAAGCAGTGGTACTCGTGCCAGAGTGCCTATGGTTCTGGATACTGCTTAAAGTCGGGATCATCTCACACCTCTTATGCAGTGACCACAACCACCGTCAGCAGTGCTCCGTCGGGCTATTCAGCGGCGAAGATGCCTTTGGATTTGTCGACTGATTTCGGCAGCACCAAGTCAATTCCGATCCCCACCATTCCCACAACTTTCTATCCTGGTGCAACTCCTTATAGCGCTTTGATGTCTAAGCAGTCTACCAAAGCTGTACGCGCGGTTCACATGAGTATGGAGACACCTGCGGCCGCATCCCGGTCAGAGCAAGTGGGTTAGCCATCTCCTGGGAGTGATGGTCCTCTCCCTTCGGGTACTCCTGGCCCAGTACCCGCAGGCGGCCATCGGCCATCGAGACATCGTCATGGCCACCACCACTCCTGGGGTGCTGCATAATTCTGCCTCTAAATCATATTGTATCCAACATCTTGAGCTCGATGATACGATTCAAGTTTCATGCAGTTTCCCGAGCCTTTTGTGTAACATTTTGATCATATCGTACGAGCTTCTGTTGAGTTCTGTTCGACAAAAATTCATCAGCTTGACACACTTTCATTCTGCCTTGTTTAGCTAAGTCATCAGCTAGTTTAAATCTGAATATGAAAGCATCCAAGTCACTGCTGGGTCAGTGAGACATCATTAAGGATTTGCTGCCAATCTCTCTCATAGAGGCAACCGCAAAAAGGGCGGGGACACATTCCATTCGAGTAATGGCTCATGAAGCAACATTCATAGTCATCAGAGCGTGTATAAATTGTAGAGACCCTAAATCACTGTAGCTGACTTTGCGTCCCGTCTTAAAATCATGCCTTTCTCGATGCGGGTGCGACCATAGGCATGGTCCGGCGGTTCGAGCTGCAAAGTGGAGAGCTCCAGACCGGCCCGCAAGGAACAGAAAGGGGAGGTTGTTGCGTCCAAGTGGACAAATCAATTGCATGGTCGCTCATTAGTCAGGTGGCAATTGACTTTGATAACAAATTGCAGGGATCGTCCGAGCGTTGAGACGGAAGAAAGATTGCGTCCGGTCAGTAGAGAACGGAAAGGTTGAGAGCGGTGATGTCACATGTTGTTGGGAGCTTTGGCCTTCGATCTCTGCCTTAGGCTAGCCTAGATGCTCCCTCCTCCCCCGCAATGGGCTTGGGCTTGCTCAGGGACAAAAGCAGGTTTCCCTCCTCCCATGTCCCTTGCAATCGCTACATTTTGTAAAAGAAAAATTTATTCATCTCTCGTCGCCGTCCTTTGTCCAAAAACTTTTCAGATTGGACGTTGTTGGTTGAGCTGAATATATCCTCCCTCACGTTTCTTGCGACCGTCCATCCATCCGCAGAGAGCTCATCACTGCTATCTTCTGTAACCATGGCTTCGACTGAAGCTGCTCAACCAGCGCCTCAGGATGGCACAGGTCAGCCAGAACACGAAATCAACTCCGTTCATCTTCCGGGTAACTTATACTCTACAGGTGTTATCCAGTTGGATCCTTGGCTTGAACCTTTCCGCGACGCTCTACGACACAGATTCGGGTTGGTCGAAAACTGGATCAAGACAATCAACGAAAATGAGGGTGGGCTAGACAAGTTTAGCAAGGTTCGCATACTTCATATCTACCTCTAATTCTGTCCTTTAATGTTTTAGTGTTCAAGGAGCAATCGTTCGCTGGTGGAATTGATATCTGAGCTAACGGACTGCATTCTCTACATAGGGTTACGAGAAATTTGGTTTCAATGTCAATGCCAAAGGAGACATCACATATCGGGAGTGGGCTCCCAATGCTGTGCGAGCTTACTTAGTCGGTGATTTCAGTGAGTCGCACTCCATAAGTGTAGTGATCGTTGGAGCGCATACTGAATTGAGCAGACAACTGGGATGTAACGGCGCATCCAATGACAAAAGACAACTTTGGCGTGTGGGAAGTTACAGTGCCCTCAAAGGATGGCATGCCAGCCATCCCGCATGATAGCAAGGTCAAGGTAATCGCTCGTGATAAGCACAATCCGGAGCCCTGTGTTGCTTACACATCGTCTAGATAGCGATGGACATTCCCAGCGGAGAGAGGATCTACCGGATACCTGCGTGGATCAAGCGTGTGGTCCAGAACCTCGAAGTGTCCCCCATTTATGAGTCCGTGTTCTGGAATCCTCCCGAATCTGAGCGGTACAAATTCAAACATTCCCACCCAAAGAGACCTGAGAGCCTCCGCATCTATGAGGCCCATGTGGGTATCTCATCTCCCGAGACCAGGGTTGCGACATACAAAGAGTTTACGAAGAACATGCTGCCTCGGATAAAGTACTTGGGGTACAATGCGATCCAGCTCATGGCTATCATGGAACATGCCTACTACGCCAGCTTCGGATACCAGGTCAACAACTTCTTCGCAGCGAGCAGTCGTTACGGCACACCCGAAGAACTGAAGGAGCTTATTGATACAGCACACAGTATGGGCTTGACAGTGCTTCTCGACGTTGTCCACAGTCATGCGTCAAAGAACGTCGACGATGGACTGAACATGTTTGATGGAACAGACCACCTTTATTTCCACGAAGGAGGAAAGGGCCGGCATGAACTGTGGGACAGTCGGTTGTTCAACTACGGCCACCACGAGGTTCTGCGTTTCCTTTTGAGCAACCTTCGTTTCTGGATGGAAGAATACGGCTTCGATGGCTTCCGTTTCGACGGAGTCACGAGTATGCTTTATGTACACCATGGCATTGGAACGTGAGTGGACACTTGACTTAAATACTTGACTCATCCACTAACTTGTCGTCAAGTGGCTTCTCAGGTGGATATCACGAATACTTTGGCCCCTCCGTCGATGACGAGGGTGTGATGTACCTCACTCTCGCCAATGAGATGCTCCATACTTTGTACCCCAACTGCATCACCGTGGCAGAAGACGTCTCCGGAATGCCGGCTCTCTGTTTACCTCATTCCCTCGGTGGCGTTGGGTTCGATTACCGCCTCGCGATGGCCATCCCAGACATGTACATCAAACTCCTGAAGGAAAAGTCCGATAGCGAGTGGGACATGGGCAATCTCGCCTTCACCCTGACCAACAGACGTCACGGCGAGAAGACAATTGCCTATGCAGAAAGCCATGATCAAGCGTTAGTCCCCTCCCAATATCTGCAATGTCATCCATAAAACTAACTTCTTCAGCCTGGTCGGCGACAAAACGCTCATGATGTGGCTCTGCGACAAGGAAATGTACACCCACATGTCCGTGCTAACCGAATTCACCCCCACCATCGAACGAGGAATGGCCCTGCACAAGATGATCCGACTGGTCACCCACGGCCTAGGAGGAGAGGGCTACCTCAACTTCGAAGGCAACGAGTTCGGCCACCCAGAATGGCTCGATTTCCCCCGTGCCGGAAACAACAATTCCTTCTGGTATGCCCGCCGCCAGCTCAACCTCACCGAAGATCATCTCCTCCGCTACAAGTTCCTCAACGAATTCGACCGCGGCATGCAATTGACCGAGGAGAAGTACGGCTGGCTACACTCTCCACAAGCCTACGTGAGCCTCAAGCACGAGATCGACAAGGTCCTCGTCTTCGAGCGCGCAGGTCTGCTCTGGATCTTCAACTTCCACCCCACAGAGAGCTTCACCGACTACCGTGTCGGCGTCGATAAGGCAGGTACCTACCGCATCGTCCTGGACACTGATGATACGGACTTTGGTGGCTTCGGCCGCAATCTCAAGGAGACTCGCTTCTTCACGACCGATATGCCCTGGAACGGCCGTAGTAATTACGTGCAGGTCTACATTCCTACCCGAACAGCGCTGGTAAGTACTCCGTTCACCTTTCCCCGTTGACGATCCACTGGCTAACAGAAGCTTCAATGGCAGATCCTCGCCCTTGAAGAAACACTGTAAACATCTTAATGGATTCATGCCACTTTGAGTCGCGTTCAATACTAGTCCTTACATACTGATATCAACATATTGCGCTGTCTAATAAGCACGTCTGCACAAAATATAAAGTTTATCCTAGCTACTTCAATATCCCATTTATGTCTTTGCGCGATGCAATGTAGACATTGTCCGTAATTCACAAATCATGTTGTCTTCTTGCAACCTAACATATTTTGTGGTCCATGACCGGGAATGCAACCAGCATGCTCAGTAGTCCATGAACTCTCGTCATGTTGTGCCTAATAAGCCTGGAATTCTGTGACTGACTTGATTACATTCGCACCATGTCTCTTTTATGACCTACCTCTGGTTGAATGCATATTGCGAGAAGGGATGCTACATACAGGTACACAACATTGGCAGAAATACTCGGAATAGATCAAGGCTACGATGACAAGAACGAATCAACTACGCAAACACTCTCTTTTTCAATCCAACAAAAGAAATGGTACAATTGTCCCAGCCCAGTGGGTATTCAGGCTGGCTGTGGTCATTTTAAACTTACTTACATGAGCACATAGTGTAACACAAGCCCGGAAGTTTCCATCCAGACTTACAAGGGTAGATGCAAGTGCTCCTTTTCCTTTTTCATGGAAACTTTCTTTCTTTCGAATCCCTTTCCTTAATTCGAGTACTGTACACGCATCGAAAGAAAACGGAACACTGAAGAAAGAGATTCCATGTCTAACAACCATAAAAAGAAAAGGGCGCTTAAAAAACAATATTACATTTAGGCCTTGCCCTCGAGCTCAGCCAGGATCTTCTCACCCTTGGCGCGGGCAGACTCGAAGTCACCAACCATGTAGAAGGCAGCTAAAAGAAGAGACATTAGCATTGATTCGAATGATCAGGAAATAGATGATGTTCAAACTTACCCTCAGGAAGATCATCACCTTCACCGTTGATGATGGCCTTGAAACTGCGGATGGTGTCCTTGAGGTCGACCAGCTTACCCTCGATACCAGTGAAGACCTGGGCGACAGTGAAAGGCTGGCTCAGGAAACGCTGGAGCTTACGAGCACGCTCGACGGTGAGCTTGTCGGCTTCAGAAAGTTCGTCCATACCCAGAATGGCAATGATATCCTGGAGGGACTTGTACTCCTGGAGCATCTGCTGGACACGGGTAGCGACGGCGTAGTGCTCCTCACCGACGATACGGGGGTCGAGCATACGAGACTTGGAGTCAAGAGGGTCGACAGCAGGGTAGATACCCAACTCAGAGATACCACGGGACAAGACAGTGGTGGCGTCCAAGTGAGCGAAGGTGGTGGCGGGAGCAGGGTCAGTCAGATCGTCAGCGGGCACGTAGACGGCCTGGACGGAGGTAATGGAACCCTTCTTGGTGGTGGTGATACGCTCCTGCATACCGCCCATGTCGACGGCCAGGGTGGGCTGGTAACCGACGGCAGAGGGGATACGACCGAGAAGGGCAGACACCTCAGAACCGGCCTGGGTGAAACGGAAAATGTTGTCAATGAAGAGCAGCACGTCCTGACCCTCCTCGTCACGGAAGTACTCGGCAATGGTCAGACCGGTAAGGGCGACACGGGCACGGGCACCGGGGGGCTCGTTCATCTGACCGAACACCAGGGCGACCTTGGATTCACCATCGAGCTGAATGACACCAGTCTCCTGCATTTCGTGGTACAGATCGTTACCCTCACGAGTACGCTCACCGACACCAGTGAAGACGGAGTAACCACCGTGGGCCTTGGCAATGTTGTTCTACACGAGGTGCGTTAGTTGTGAAGATCCAACGAGAATTAGCAGAACATGTGGAACAACTCACAATCAACTCCTGGATGAAGACAGTCTTGCCGACACCGGCACCACCGAAGAGACCAATCTTACCACCACGGGCGTAGGGGGCGAGAAGGTCGACGACCTTGATACCAGTGACCAGAATCTCAGCGGAGGTCGACTGCTCAATGAACTCGGGGGCCTCAGCGTGGATAGGAAGGAACTTGGTAGCCTTGATGGGACCACGCTCGTCAATGGGGTCACCAGTGACGTTGACGATACGGCCAAGGGTGGCAGGGCCGACGGGGATCTTGATGGGAGCACCGGTGTCGTGGGCGGGAGCACCACGGGTCAGACCCTCGGTACCTGAAAGCCGGACATATGTCAGTCGATTCGATGGAAAAGCAGCGCCGATATCGCCAAGCAAAATCTAGGTGTCACGCCGGTGACGAGCAGGGGGGCGAGAGCTTACCATCCATAGCAATGGTACGGACGACATTCTCACCCAAGTGTTGCTGTTACTCGGTTAGCCAAGGCACGATTGATGTCATCGAGGTTCAATATCAGATATCAAATACATACAGAGACCTCAAGGACGAGCTTCTGGCCGTTGTTCTCGGTCACAATGGCGTTGAGAATGGCAGGGAGCTTGTCACCGTCGAACTTCACTGTAAGCTAGAGTCAGATATTGTGTTTTGACATTGCTATTGACCCCATTTTGATGGCTGTTGAGATGGATTTGACGCCAGGAAAAGATTTTCGCGGAGACTGCCAGCAGGGTTTTCAACGGGGAGATTCGGACGTACCGTCGACGACGGCACCAATGACCTGGTGAATCTTTCCGACCGCACCAGCCTCGGTGCTGGCGAATCTGGCCAGGGAAGGAAGGCCATTGGATCTGAGGGGCTGGATTGCGCGACGAGCGACGGGGGATGGTCGAGCAAAAGCAGCCCTCCCGAAGGTCCGGGCAAGACCGCTAAATCATCCAAAAAACCGAGGTTAGCGGGCGAAAAAATGGGAAAAAAAGCGATTCAGCGAGAATTGGCGGTGCAACAAACCTCTTGAACATTTTGATGGTGTTTAAGAGCGAAAATGGGGTTTAAGAGGTCAAAGGGACAAGAAGATGGGGAGAGGGAAGAAAGAGGGAAGGGAAGGGAAGAGGTTGAGGTTGAGGTGGACACGGGCGACTGTGTCCGGCTTAGCCTTTCCAGGGCGGTTTTGCCGACGATCCCGTGATGTACCGAGCAATGCGCAAGAAAACCCAGTGCGCAACGAGCCTCATTTTCTTGAGAATAAGAGTGCACCGCTATCTGGGAACTCATCTTTCTTTTATCTTGAATGTCTCACGCTCAGATGCTGTGCTCTTCTGGCCATCGAGCCCAACTTGCCCGGGTTTCCACATCTCCATACTTGCCCTGTTGTGGTCACCTAGGGAATTCGCACACACAAACGGGAGACTTCTTGGCACCCGGATGCAGGGAGCTTTGGATACCTGTACAGTTGTACAGCAACCCCATCAAAATTTGATACTCGTTTACACGATGATGTATGTAGCTTATCTCCAGGTCAACAACATATCATTACTTATATATGTGACTCTAACAACCGATCAATTCGTTTCATCCTCTTTTATCTGCTTTTTGGTAATGGTTGCTCTGAGAACAATCCACGCTCCTCTCCTCGGACGAACGCTGTTAAAGGAAATTTCTGACGTGTTCTTGTAATCGGCTCGTACTACGTATTACCCATGGTAGAGTATCAAGTTCTTGCAGCTTATTGAAGCTGCCGGATAGCAAAGATACCACTTTTGTATTCACACTGTAGGAAAATGGACTGAGAACTACTTGTAGCTTCAATTGTAGGGAGCTGTCGTTTAGCAATTCGCTGCATTAGCATTGGCCAACGCGTAGACAGGCCCATTGGCAGCTTATAACCATTCGATCATATATCTCCATTGAAGCAGCTCTCGAGGCTATATGAATGGACAGGGTTAGAGTGTTGCCCATTGGATGTGCGTAGTGTGGTGTCTAAGTCTCTACAAGAGCGAATTCTACGTCATCAATACCAGTAACAAAGAAGAAAGACAATGCAACAAAATGATCTATGGCTACAAAGGAGATACATTGATTATTGCACAGTACGAGATACACAAGGATTTTCGGAAGTCGAATTGTGAAGATTGGAAGACAAGGGCGAAGTCAAAATTGTCCAATGGGCCTAGGCACGCAGCCGAGGTCAACAGAAAGGACAAGGGGACGGGCACTCAACTCCAGCACTGCCTATCCAGCGTGTCTGAATGCCACACCTGTTCCTCCCAGATACTTATCCTTCAATTTACTTCTTCTCGGCAGGAGGGCTCTGAACGAAGCCCTTACCCTCGTAGCCCTCACTGCTAATGCCGTAGAGAGGGTTCATGTTCTCGCGCTGTTGTAAAACCATGTCAATGACTATTCAACCACACAAGGGTAAAACAGCTCCACTGGGAAGCTGCCCATAACAGCGATATATACGTACCTTGGCGTACTCGTTGGAGGCTTCCTGCCACTCCTTGGACATGGTCTTAGGCTGGGGCTTGGCGAACAGATGGATCACGTAGAAGACGGCGACGGAGGCAAGGGTGAGCTGAGCGACCTTCCAGAAAATTCGCATGCCCTCGCCCTTGGGGGGAGCCGCACGAGGGCCGTGAGGACCGAAAGCAATCCAGTAGGCTAGAGACTCTGATCAGCAAAAATTCTGACCACCCGGGGACGTCTGGTACCCGCGCAAAAGAGAGATACATACCAGCCTTCTTCTCCTGCAGAGTCATCTGGTGCCAGTCAACCTTCATACGATCCCTCAGCTGCATCCACAGTTCGGCCTGCTCCTGGGGAGGCATGGCCTCCCAGCGCTTCTCGATACCGGCGAGTGTGGGATTCGAGATGGCGTGCTCGGAAGAGGCGCGGGTCTGCTGGGAAGCAATGGACTTCTGCTGAGGCTGAGGACGAGCGTTCAGGCACGCAATTGGGCTAGGAACAGTGCGGTAGGAGCGAATGGCCGTGGTGGGCATGGCAGAGCTGCGAGCAGCAGCCCGGGAAACGGACCGGAGGAACATTGTGTGTGTGAGGGCGCAAAGGCGACGAAAAACGTGTCAATTGAGCAGAGAATACTCTCCGGTATAAAAGAGCGTCAATTCCCCGGATTGGAGGCTGGTTGAGGCTGGTCAGTGGGTGGAGGAGGAGACA